ATAAATCGATTATGGAATGCTAATTTTTATGAGCTAACTGAGAGAACATGGGCCACTCTTAGATCTATGAGATGGGAAAACATGTCCTTTGGGATGATGGCCTCTAGGCTTGCTAAAGAGGTGCAGACACCAAGGAGGGTCATTCATGACTTTTTACCTCCACAACCTTTGTCTTCTTGTTGATCTACACTGCTTCCACTTTTTGCTTCTCCTAATAGCCCTCTTTAAATGGTGACTTCTCCTACCTACTATTCTTTAAAACAGCAGTTCTCAAAATACACACTTGTTAGGAATACAAATTTTTTACCCTTTCCCTAGTCCTACTGGTCAGAAAATTTGCACTGAGATCAGAGGTCTGTGCTTATAAATCTCCAGCAAGTTCTGATCCATATTAAAGCTTCAGAATCTGTGCCCTAACCTCACTGTTGGTGAGTCATGCCTTCTCAATAGGGTTATTCTCTTCCTGTGTTCAAATCACATCAACTATTTTGTCCTATGATATATATTCAGAAAATACTAAAACATAACTAGAGAGAAGTTATTTTCAACATCAATAATATTTTCCAATAGTGTGCTTACTGGAGTATTTCCTTTGGCACATTTCACTGAGAAAAGTTTATATTTGAACTTTATAGTCATAAGAAGAAAGACTGGAAGGAAGCCAAAAAATAAAATGTACCATGTTAAATTTGTGAACTTTTCAAACTCAATTTGAATTTGCAAGTTTGGCACACAGGTGGGATCTGGAGGAAGCTCTTCAATACCACATGCTTGCCATCAAAGTTTTGGTTATGATAACAATCCAAGGAAATTTCCAATGCTATTAACTCCATGTCATTGTTTAAACAATTTAAATAGACTTTTTAAAGTCAATCTTTCAAAATGTATTCTCTAACTTCTAGATTTTACCTGAATCTTTATTTAAGTCTAGATATAAGGATTATATCCTTATATAAGGATTATGAGGAAAAAGTGTAGAAGGGTGAATATGGTGGAATATTATGTACTCAGGTATGAGAATGGAAAAATGAGACCTGTTGAAACTGTTCTGAGAATGAGAGGATTGGGAAGACAAAGTAGAATGATGGAGGGGGTGAATTTAACTATAATGTATTGTAAGCACTTTTGTAAATGTCATAATGTAGCCCTAGTACAACAATAATATAATAATAATGAAAAAAAGAAGGTTCTGAAAAGGAATTTTATGTGTATGTGTGTGTTTATGAAGTCACAAATGTTATGCTGATTTTCATTTTCATCGTGAGAAATTATATGCTCTACAATGGAGATAAATGATCACTAAGTAAATGTATTTTAGAAAATGTGCCACGGAATTGGGCATTTCATTTAAGTAACTTTCATTGTCTCTTTTTGAGTGGAATTTTTCTTACTGCTAAAATTGGTGGGAAAGTGCTACAATATTTTTGTTGTGCTGAGATTGAACCTAGAGTCTGGTCACGCTAAGCTATACCCAACCCTGCAATTGTGTTATCCCTATGCCAAATCACCAAGTACTTATATAGCATCTCCATTATATAAAAAATCCTGTTTTAGTCACACATCGGAAAAAAATTACTGGATGCTTCTCAGGAGTATGAATAATTGCTGAGATGGAATGATCTACTCTATCATAGTGAGTGACCAACTGCTGACCTATCTGAATAAAGACTATTGGTCCTTCAGTCTGGGGCACTTAAATGCTTGAATCTGAGGTGTAGGACAGTAGTTATTGTACCTTGGATTCTGGTCTGCAGTTTGTATGTGCTATGTGTCGTGGAATAAGCAGTTTGTTGAGATGCTAAGTGTGTCTCCTGATGCAGATGCAGAAAAACAAAAACAAAAGCATTTTGTTGCAAAGTAGGTGTTTCCCTAAGAACCTCAGGCAAAGCTGAACGTGTTTTACTGTCGTCAGACTTTCCCTCCACCTCACTGGGCAGCTCTTGACATGCAGGCATATATCAGAGTACTTACAGAGCTCATTTAAACAGATCATTGGGCCCCATACCCAGAATTCCGGGTTTGATAGACAGTGTGTGTGTGTGTGTGTGTGTGTGTGTGTGTGAGTATTTGCATTTCTAACAAGTTTCCAGGGATGCTTACTGATGTGCCAGGGAGCACACCTTGAGAATGACTGTTCTAATGTTGTCTTTCTCTAAGTTAGATCCTTGGATCTTCAGATCAGAATCTCTTGGACTGCCTAATAATCTGTGAGAACTTGGGTCCTATGCTGATGCTTGAAACCAAATCTCCAGGGTGTTGTACCCATAATTTATGTTTTGTTAATCTCCCCAGGTGATCCACATGCACACTCACATTTGACAACTGGTGAGAGAGGTGTCAAAGGAATACTGTTAACTTGAGATAATACAAGTCAAATCTCCCCTCAAATATTACCAATTTTATGCTCTTGACTTGGCATACATTAGTCACTTTAAACATAGTAGTTGAATGAATTTATGCTAATGAATGAGTGCATGCCATTAGTTGTTTCTTCTTGTTTGTTCCCAAACAGGAACAATCCTACCATAGAAGGTATCATCTGTATTTTATCCACTTGCTTACTTGATAGTCTTCAGTCTCAGCAGAGACTTCTTCCTGTCCTTGTTGTATCTTCAGTGCCAAACCCAGCATCTGGCATTAATATTATATCATTGGTGTTTGTTGGATTAAACAGTTGTAAATGTTAAATAGAGTTTATCTTTTAGATAGGTCTTTTAGAGTAAGCCTAAAAAGAAGTGGTATGAATCATTAAACTTTGGTGGTTTCTTTGAAGATGTATTGAAATGTTGGAAGAACAGCACCAGCAGGTTGGGTCTAAGACTATAGGTGGAAAATCCACAACTAAGTCTCAAATCAGAGGGTGGGGCTAAGATACAGCACTAAGTGAGGAATTTGGGCATAAAGGTTATTGCATGTGATTAGTACATATGTGCAGTACATTTGGGAAAACTGCTTTTCAACAGTGGAAGGGAATAATGTGGGGAAAAGGAAGAGGGTTATCTAGGTTTGATGAAACCAACCCGTGCTAAGGATTTTGTGGGTGGTCAGAGTGTCAAAGGATAAAAAGGAAGGTCAGGACATGACAAATTGTTAAGTTAGCACTTTTGTTCAACATTTTAATTTTGTCATATGAAAACATTTGATATTATAACTCCAGATTTTTATTTATTAATTTTATTTTAATTTTTTTAACCTTTCTTAGTCAGGAAGAAAGCAAGACTTTTAATCAGGCTGGCCTACTCATGCTAACAAGTCTAGAGCAGAAATGGATTATGGTCTGGAGAGCAGTTCCTGGTACTGGGATTGAAATCAAGGATTGTCTAAATACTAATGTTCTTGTTTTTGCTGCTGCCCACACCCATTGTCTAAATCCTAAACCCTGTTATTGTCTCCTTGAATAGGCTTGCAATGCCCTGATTTTTACCAGTCTTGTTTAATTTCCTGTTCCATGCTCCACAGACTGCCTTTCAGATTTCAGGTCTTTTATTATTCCATTTCAAATTACCTTAATTTTCAGCTTCTTGTCTAAACAATGTAGGACCCTAATCTATAGTTCACTTTATTATTTGAGTCCTGCTGCATTTGTACTGAATGCTGCCACCATATCTGGCCCAATGATAGGCTGGTGTTTGTCATGTGTATTCTCTTTCACTTTTTGGGGGGTCTCAAGATTCTTTCCATTTTTTAATTTGTTCTCCCCAGATTCTCTTCATTTACATTACCAGTACTGCCTAGGTCCCTTTGTATACAGGTGAAAATTGGATGGTACTTCTATTTCAATTGTTTATTTAGAGATGACACAACAGAACTTTCCAAGGAAAATGCTTTTATGATCACTACAGAAGTTGAGAGCCTAAGGTTTAAGTCTTCTTTTAAATTATATGAGAATTAGATTTCAGAAAAGTTTGTGTATGTTAAAATGGTACAAAATTGTTTTGTTTAGATTCTAAGCTCAAAACATTATAGGTAAGTTTTTCACTAAATGAAGTTTCAGCAAGATATTCAAACATTATGAAGTATGTGGGAAATTACTCATTGTGCAGGAATATCTCACTCATTGCAGGACAACCAGCATTCTTTGACAAGCTGAATAAATATGAGCCATATCTTTCATCATTTTCACATCCCTAAACAACGCAGAAATCTCCCAAATACCCCAATGTGTAAATTCCACTTCTATTGAAAACCACTGGCTTAGATTATTCAGTTTACATTTGCTGGTTTTGGGGGACAACCCATAGAAAATGTGGATTTTTAAAGCCAAAGAAAATGAGAAGAAGGAATAACATTATATACAATATACAAGTATATAATGGTTCGAAATTTCAAGGGCAACTCTTTAATTACCAATATGATGATAGAGTAACTTCTCTCAAAGATAATTAGAAAATTCAACAACTTTGGGATATTTGAAATCTCATATGGTATGTAAGAATAATGTTAATTTGAAGTAAAAATTTCTAGTGCTTAAATGAAGGAATATGACATTTTTGGTACTAATGAGAACAAATGTAGTCAACACTATACAAGTCAAATTTATGTAATTAAAATTATTGAAGTAATATGTTAGTTTATATTCTCAGTTCTTTCTGAGAAAGGGTTGTAGGTACAATCTTTTTGTCCTTCCTCAAATGACGAGTAATCACCACTTCTTATTTACTTGAATCTCTAAGTATCTTGTATTGTCCCTGACACCAGTGTATGTTCAGTGTGTGTTTGCCTCAGAAAGGAATGGTTTCAATGAGAAACTTCAGGAAACGTGGATCAAATTTAATTTATTCTATTTTAAATAGTTTTAATAGGGAAAAAGTTATTTGCATTTTAAAGCTCTTTTTCTCCAGGTAAACTTGTATAAGCTAATGCACATTTTTTTCCTATGTGAACTATCTGACTAAGATGATAGGTGGCTCAATATTAGTGATAACTAAAAGAACAGACTTCCCTGCACTATTACCCTTCCTCTAGCTCACTTGTCTCATGTTTTATTGTCTTTTTGACAGGGATTTGATAAACAAGTGGATGTGTCATACATTGCCAAACGTTACAACATGAGTAAGAGCAAAGTCGACAACCAGTTCCACAGTGTGGAAGTGGGAGACTCAACCTTCACGGTTCTCAAGCGCTACCAGAACTTAAAGCCAATTGGCTCTGGGGCTCAGGGAATAGTTTGGTAAGTAGAGTGGATCCAAATTATACTTTTAGAGGGAACGTATTGCATGCATCTACTAGACACACACACATAAGCAAACAAAACCCAAATAAACAAGTTGTAGAGAAAATACATTACAGTGAAAGAAAGTAAACTTATGAGCATGATTTGTTATTCATTACTCACTTGTTAACACTATTACTTGGCTTGTGACATGTTTTATGGTTTAGGTCCATTATACAATAATCATGAAGAAATCAAGAGAACAGAGGTTTTTCAGCTGTTGCTAATGTGTTCAGAAAATTTTATTTGCATGTTTCACAACAAGAAATTAAGAGGTATGCCTTAAAATAGCGATAAATAAATACCTCTACATAGTTATAAGAGATAAATGATAACTCAAATGTTCCTGTGACTTTTAAAGTTCAGTGCTTAAAATTAACTTACCTATTTAGAAGAATTTAAACAATGTTTGCCTACTTTTTCGAAACTAGGATGATTTGGGACTCCTTAGTAATCATTCTTTTATGACATTTTTGAGTAGCTAATTGAAATTAAGATAAATTTAGATCTGATTTAGCCATGCAAAACTCTTGCAAAAGTAATGATTATCAGATTAATTGATAAACATTTCTTATAGACCATTTTAATATTTTATATAGTAACCAAATATATTTAAAATAAATTTACTGGCATAATAATTTTCAATCTTTTTGATGGCTCACATTGATAAGTAAAAATTTAGAACATGTACTGTAAGTATTTATATTTAGATATGCATATTTATTCACAAAGGATATTTATTAATGCAATTTGTTTATTTGTTATATAAGTTACTGCTATAGTCATTATTATGTACATGTAAAAACACAAAAAGTTTTACATGGTGAGATGGATGAAGACAAGATAAACATTTAGAAATATTAAAAATATTTTATTAGCATGTATTAGTTGTATAGGAGAATTTTGTGGACAGTTCCATTTATCCTTGCAATGTACCTCTGCTGCATCCACATCATGACTCTCCTTCATCTCCTTCCCCAGCTTAAGACAATTTCAACATGTTTCTGTTTTACATTCATGCAAGTATCCAAAGTACATCAACCATATTCACTCTTCTTCACCCTCTCCACTTACCCTCCCCCCTTCCACCAGGACCTACGTCATAACAGAGCCTGTTTCACACTCCTCTTCTTCATTTTTTAAGTGCATGTTCATTGTTCAAAGATGTTTCACCCTGGTATTTCACCCATGAACATATTGTGCTTTAATTAGATTAACCCCCTCTGTTACTCTCCTTTTTACTTTCCCCCTTATCCTTTATTATTAAACAGCTTTCAGTGTGTTTTATTGTGCTTTTTCCTACACAGATGTAATGTATTTTGATACTCTTCACTCTGTATCATTCTCTTTGCCTCTCCCTCCTCTTCCTAGTTCCCTCAAACAGTCCTGCCATTACAAATTCTTTATCTATATGTATGTGTTCTCATATTTGTATTTGTGTATGTTTATCTTTTGAGTCTGTCTTTCACATGTGAGAGAGAAAATGTGACCTCTGTCATTCTGACCTGGCTTACTTTAACACAATGATCTCCCATTCTATTCATTTACCTGCAAATGCAATAATTTCATTCTTCTTTATGGGTGATAAAACTCCAGTGTGCATATGTACCACATTTTTAAAATCCATTCTTCAGTTGTAGGGCATCTAGGCTGTTTTTATCTGGGCTCTTGTGACAGTGCTGCAACAAACATGGGTGTACAAGTGTGTCTATTGTATTCTGACTTGCATTCCTTCAGATATGTGCCTAGGGTCACATTGCTGAATCATATGGAAGTCACTGCTATATTAATTATGTAAGTTACTGCTATATTCAGTATTATGTATATGTAAAAACATGAAAATGTTTATAGGGTGAGCTGAATGAAGATGAAATAAACATTTAGAATTTTTGAAATTTTAAACTCCCTTTTTATTCATGTAAAATATTAGCAACATTATTTTAGTGATAGCAGCTGTTTTCACTGTTTTTCAAACCTTTATTCTGTGTTTCATAAAATGACTTGACTATTTGGTCTGCTTCATTTTGCCAATGGGTTTATGTTCAGTGTCTATGCTTATTGATGTGAATACAGAAGGGCTCTGCTCATGAACTTACAAAGACATGACACTAGCAATTCAAGCTCATCTGCCAAATCTACCAAGGTGACTGGTAAAACTCACATGATCCTATCAGGAAACAGAAGTTTTTTGCACTTTCAAAGATGGAACATTTTAATGTTTTTAACAATGGGCCAAACCTTTCATTTCAACAATACTGAAAAGGTAAACAAGAAAAGAGATTTTTTCTTTTCAATATTTACTTATTTTTGGCAGTGCTAAGGTTTGAACTCAGATCCTCACACTTACTAGGTAGGTGCTTTACCACTTGAGCCACCTCTCCAGCCCTTCTTGCTTTAGGTATTTTTTAACCAGGGTCTCATCAGGCTGAGCCACAATCTTCCTATTGATGCTTCCTGCATAGCTAGGATGACAGGTATGAGCCACCATGCCCAGGTTGTTTGTTGAGATGGAGGTCTCATGAACATTTTCCCCTGGAACTGGCCTCAAACTGTGATCCTCCCAATCTTGCCTCCCTAGTAGACAAGGTTTACAAATGTGAGTTATTGCACCTTGCCAATTTATTTTTATGGCTTATGTATGAGGTAATCTCTTTGTGGCACAAAATATTTGTATGGTATGATAGGCAGAATAATGGTTTTCCCAAAGATGCTTAAGCCCTAATCCCCAGAGTCTTTGAATGTTTTACTTAATAGAACAAAGGAACTTTACAGATTTGATTAAGATTAACAATTTTAAAATGGGAGACTAGCCAGGCACCAGTGACTCATGCCTGTAATCCTAGCTATCAGGATGCAGAGATCAGGAAGAGCACGGTTAGAAGCCAGCTTGGACAAACAGATCATGAGACCCTGTCTTGAAAAAATCCTTCACAAAAGTGAAGTGGCTCAAGGTGTAGGCTCTGAGTTCTAACCCCAGTACTGCAAAAAAAAAAAGGGGAGACTATTTTGGAATATGCAGGTGGGACCAATAAAATGACATGAATTCTTAGAAGTGGAAAAGTGGTCAAACAATGGATCAGGGAGATGCAATCAGAGAAGATGGAGAAGAGATTTGAAATATGATACATTTGCCTTTTGTTGGCTTTGAAAATAGAGGAAGTAAGGCCATGAGTCAAAGAATGTGACTCGCTTAGTGAAAATGACTGTGAGATGACATTCAGCAATGAAATGGAGACCTACTCACACAACCATAAGGAATTAAAATTTGCCAACAACCCAAAGAAGGGAAACAGAAGATTCTCTTCTGGCACCTCCAGAAAGAAACTAAGTTTCCAACATCTTGATTTCAGCCCAGTGAAACACAGGTAGGACTTCTGACCTATACAACTGTAAGATAATAAATTTGCATTTAAGCAGTTCTTTGTGGTGAATTGTGGCAGCTGTATTAATACACATGGTATAATAAAGATTCTAACATTAAGATAATGCTGTAAATTTCCTAAGTTTATCATGGAAAGTCAAAAACAGTGATTCATGACTACTTTTCTTTCATGGAAAATTATACAATATTAACACAAGAAAGTGTTTGTGAATAAGATTCGCAGTTTGGATGCTCAAATAATAAGATTCATACTTCAGATGCTCAAATACCTCTTGGGATAATTTCATTTTTTTCTTATAAAGTCACCACTTAGCATGAGGACTGCCAGTGAAAGGCAACTGACAGACCTTTAATGACTCAAAAATAGATCCAAGTCAGGACTGTGCTCAATAAGTTAACAGATTGCCACAGAAATATTTGAAAATCTTATACTAAGAATGCTATGGTGTGTTTTACAGGGCACTTGAGGGCCACTCTCCTTTTAATGTGATGGAAATCATCCTTTGTCTTAGGTATAGTAACTGAAAATAGATGAAAAAAATCTGAGAAAGACTTTAAATTCATTTTAAGAACAAATTTATTAGCAAATTTGTCAGAAACTCTGAATTTAAAAATGTTAGCTTTGGGGTTTCCTGAGATTACGAGTTTGCCTATACCCAAGGGAAGTAAAGACATATTCTAGATAGCAGAGAAAAGATGAAGGGGTAGATGAGACCTTCTAGCTACCACTCTACCATATATATAGATACCACAACTAGAACACACTCCTCTTGGACACAAATATGGGTGTCACTTCCAAGATCTCAAAATCTTGGCTTTGAGATATTTTTGTTTACTTATAACTCAGTTCTGTAATGTACTATTTCTCTCATGGATCTGTTCTTACATTCATTTGTCTGCTCTAACAATATGCCCTTAATTTAATTTCTTTTCCATTTCCTTTTGTCAACAGTGAGCTTATCAGCCTCTTTCATGCCAAATTCATGTTCATTACCAGACGTTCTCCTGAAATTCACAGACCTTTCCTATGTTTGTGACATTGTTGACTCACATAGTATCTTAAATATTCCATACAATCCTGAACATAGTGACTGGTTGCAATGATTGGGGGCTCTAAGTGACAAACAAGCTGGGACACAGCACTCATTTATTTTACTTAATCTTCTCTGGAGTAGGAATAAAACATGAAGGAACCAATTCCAAAAGAGATAGCACCAAAAAATTAATTTGAATGTGTTACTATAAAGTTGTGTGTGTGTGTATGTGTAAGAGAGATTTTTCTCTTCAAGTGTTGGCATACTGATACTTCTATCCCAGAGTCACCAGTCTCCTAACATAATTGAAACAGAGCTTCATTCCTACTGTTCCAGTTATCTTAAACATACTGGAGTCTTGCAATTTCTTTCCCCTCTTTCAAATGCTTAATAGCTTATTTAACATCAGGAGAAAATGCAATACTAAAATGGCTTTAAACTACTATGCTTTAAAAAAAATTTTTCCAGTGGATGATAGAGCAAAACCATTATTATTGAGAACCATTAAGTAGAAGCTATTATGAATTTTTTGGAATAAGTGA